AAATTAGATATGAATTGTTCATCATAGCTGCATTTTTTTTTCTTTTTGGCTATAATTCTCACTATGTTACCCAGACTAGTCTCCTAAACTTATGCTCAATTAATTCTCCTGCCTCAGCCTCCCAAGTAGATGAGAATACAGATATGTGTCACTTCTCTGTTTATGTTTCATTTTAAAGAGATCGATTTCCCAATGATGACTGTTTAAACTAAGAGGCATGCCTTATGAAAACCGTTAGCTTCCTGGCATGCCAGATGCCCATATGGATTCTGTTTATTCAGAGACTAATCTTCAGACGTTGAGAAATTGGTTTTACTTTCAGTTTAAGTAAATTTTTTATTTGAATGAAATGAGCAGTGTAAAAACTTTAGAAGATCAAAACAAAAGTTACACTAAAATTATGTTCTATTTCTCTTGTCTAGTGGTTTACATATTCTTTTTTTACAGTTATGATTTTTTTTATTTCAAAAATTTAAAAGTTGACAAAGCAACAATGAAGACAAAATCAAAACAACACAAGAACAACAAAAATGATACATGACCTCAGGACAAAATGATAGAAATTTGCAATGGTTGCTAAATTACATACTGTTATCTTCAACGAAGTTGCTCAGTTCATTAGACATAAGAATGTAAGATTGATCATATTCTTTAAGGTGACTGAATTTTAAAACTTTTCAGAATTACTTTTTTGCAGGGTCACTGCATGTTTGTAGTAGGGAAAGTAGTATATTGAATAAATTCTGATTTAGGGCACTGATTTAAATGCAGATAAATATGAGCTAAATGTGCAAAACAGAAAATTAAAGGATTAGTGGATTATTGAATTCAGGGATTATCAAAAGATTGCTTTTGTCACACAAGGAAAACAAGCTTGCTTTGTTTTTCCATGTGATGCTCTCCACCATGTTTAATGCCAAAAAGAGGATGACAGCAGATGGCAAGCAGATGCAGGTGCCACACCTTTGGACTTCCTTGCTTCCAGAAGGGTGAACCAAAGAAACTTCTACATAAACAACCTGGACTCTGATATACAATTGTACCAACAGGAAGTGAACTGTGATAAAGAATAAGATAGGGGAGATATGCAAAAAAATAAGTCTCCTATTGCTAAGCTTTTCATCAACTCTTCCATACTCCCAGTGTTCAGTGGTCAAATTTTCCCTTTGTGACTCCAACTTTCACCTTGTGATTGGTCATTTGGCCTTGGAGACCACCATTTCCTTCTTGGTTTCAGTACAGTCAGGGTTTTCCTGCCATTATTATTTTCTAGGCTGTCACATTTTCTTATTTTCAGTCCACTCAACCTAAATTTCTAAATGATCCTTAAATGATGTGATTATGACTTGCAGAAATAATTCTAAAAATAAAGCTTCAAAATGAGAATTTAGACTGTGGAGATGGAAAGGGGATCTGGGGATATGAACGACGGGAGAGAAAGGAGGGGAAGAGAAAGTAAAAAGGATCAAGATGTGATATGCATGAGTCCCAATTCCAGCAGTGAATGTATTTACTATGTATCACAAACATACATTAACTAAAAGGGAAAATTAAATAACTTGAAAAATTTACATAATGACACTTTGAGTTGGTAATTTCGCTATAGTGAATATCTTGTGCCAAAGATCCTCTGTTGAACTAGAGGGATATATTTGTTTTTTTTTTTTGTTATTAGTACATGTTTACAGCACATGTTTATATTCCATATATAAAGTTGGTACATATATATAATGTATCTTAGTTCCTTTTCTCGGCACATTTGCCCCTCCCTCTTTCTCTACTCCATACCTTGATCTCCTCATTTAATAAAGCTCCACCTCCCTTCTTCCTTTTACCTATCTTTTATTTTGTTCTTTATTTAAATTTTGGTTTTCTCACATAAAAGAAACCATGCAATATTTAAGTTTGTGCATCTAATTTATTTCATTTAGCATTATGCTCTCAAGATACATCCATTTTCTTGCAAATGATTCAAGCTTCTCATCTCCACCAGTGCAGTTTCCTATGCCTCCCTTATGGGCAAGTACCTAAATTTTGTCTCTAAACTTGATTTATTTAACAAGAAAAAAGTGTTCTCAGTGTTTATCTGTACCAAACAACATAATAACTGATGCAAATGTATAATCAATATATGTCAGACCATACAATAAGTGAGGCGGAAAATATGTGTACTTCCAATATTGAATATGAATATATATATTGAATATGAATACACATATATGGATATATATCCATGCACAAATAAATGCAAACATCAGGTCTTAGGTAAGTGCAGAGTTAGAACACATACAGTATCTGAGGCAAGAAGTTTATTAAATCTTTAAGGAAATTGATACATTAGGCACATCAGTTAGTAACTGGTGTGTTAAATATTTCTAAAATGTGGATGATTTTGAAGCAGTAACTAGCATAAGATTTTACATACATTTTCAGCCTAATCAATGTCATATCTTAATAAGGCTTCTCTTTTGTCAAAATTAAACTTTAGGAAAAAAAATGTCATTAGCCCATGTCAAGTACTGGTCTTTCATTTATTTGTCTGTAATTGTATGACATCTTTCAAAATGTGATACGTTTTCAAGATTCATATTAAGAAGGCTACTCTTATTATTAACTAACTAAAGTTACATTTAAAGGTTTTACTGATGCTACAATAATTAAATATTTGAAATCCATAGTGGTTGTATAGTTTACCTGTTCACAAGCAGTGTGCAAGGGTATTGAGCATGTTTTCAAATGTTTTTGGCTGCCTGTATTTCTTCTTTAAGAAATGTTTTTTCAACTCATTTGCCATTTTAAATAGGCAAATGTTTATTAGTTTGATGTTATTCTGAGTTCTTTAGATATTTTAGATATAATAATCTTCTGTGAATAGTTAGCCAATGTTGTTTTCTCATTTCATGGGTCGCCTTTACACGCCATTCATTACACTCTTTGCTTTACAAAAGCTTTTGTAATTTCTTCGAATTGAACTTGTCAAGTCCTACTTCTGTCTCCAGAGCTTGTGGAGTTTTCTGAGCAAGCCAGAAGGGTCTCAGAGTTTCAGGCTTCACATCAAGTTCCACTTTGATTTGTTTTTTTTGGACAAGGTTAGAAATATAAATTGATTTTCAAGCATCTCTATGTATACATCCAGTTTTTCCAGCAACATTTGTTGAAAGGGCTATCTTTTTTCTCATGTAATATTTTTGGTATCTTTGTTGCAAAATTATTTGACTGAAGATGCATGGATTTATTTCTGAGTTGTCTATGCTGTTCTATCATCTGTGTGTTTATTCCCTTGTCAATACTAAACTGTTTTGTTACTGTGGCTCTTTTGTAGGTCTGGAAATACACATTGTGATGCCTCAAGCCTTGTTCTTTTTGCTCAGGCTCAGCCATGATGAACAATGCATATCCAATTTTCAAATCTGAATATTATTAATATTGACTTCACGTATTTGCAGTATTATTTGTGTGATTACAGTACCAAAAATAAGCCATAATAAATAACACTAGAGTACTGGACACTCTAGTGATTACAAGGTTTATGTCTGATGGTAGACAATATACTGACGACACTGACACTAATACAGAGACATTGTTTAAATATAAAAAACCCTGGACAAAAGTCTACATATCCCTTTTTCAAAACCTGTGTTAAATGACATAGCAGAAAGGTGTGTGATGTAGTCTATGAAAATTGCTTATTGCTGCCCTAAAGAATGTAGTGACAGAAAAATAAGGGACAAATAGCAAACTTTCTGTGACAGATTGAATATAAAAATGTTTGATCAGGCAACTGTCTAAAAGTAGTCTCCTGCAGTAACTAATTACAACGGACATTAGGAGAAACACTGCATACAATGCTGATAAAAACCAATGTACTTAGGAGCATCAGAACGAAAACGGTGCAGTATCACATGTTCATATATACATGGGCAGAAGGAAACAGGAGAGAACAACGGGTAACTTAAATAAACAAATTTGTTTTTAAGTGTTTAGATATCATCTCTTTGAGAGAGAACAATAATAGCCTCATGATCCTCTGACTTAAAGAAGTCAGATATGATCTGCATGGTTATATGATTTCATAGTAATATTTGCTCAATAGTTGCAAAATGTAAAGTTTCCTGAATGAAAATAAATTGAAATAAAACTAATAATCCTAATTTTATAGGATTACTTCTTTTTTTAAAAAAAAGTATATCTTGCAGTCTTAGAGTTATTCAACATAACAAACTGGTAATTTTCATGTTTGGCATTTGGATTGCTATCTTTGTGGAATAAAGTATACTATCAATATTTCATTGCTCATATTTATGCACACTTGAACATAGACTGTCCTGAAGACCTCCATCTATTTTAGTATTTTTATACACAGTTGGGATAAACAGAAAAGATTGCCTTCTCTTCCTGAAGTACCATTAAACTAAATGTTAACATATTGAATGAGACATATTGAATTAAATAATAAAAAGAAAGAAAAATGAATTTCAAAATTCTTATACTCATTAGAATTTTGTACCAAATAATAGTAATATTAATTGCTACAAAGATAACTTTCACGATAAAGTTGTAGGTGATCTATAGCTACAAAATCGTTACTGAGCAGGCAGAAAAATTCAATAAAAGTAGTACTTTCAATCATTGTTATTTTCACACAACAGCATCTTGAATTTGTTTAAACTGTTGATCATTTTTCTAAATACTTTGATACACTTCTGAATTCTTTAATCAAAATGGTAGCTTCCAATAAGAAAACCAAAAATGGTGAAATTCATCTAACAAACACAGGCAGCAATTTAATTCTCTTTTTATCTCTATTTGGCAGAGTTTAATATATGATATAATTCCCTAAGTGGATGTTTAGTATCTTCCCATTAGAAAGTGGAGGTTTTTAGACTAAAGAATGTCTTTATGTGGAATAGTTCATCACATAATCTGTTCAGTATGATATCACTGATAAAACTACATTTGTGAATAAGACATTCAGTTATCTTAATTCATTTGCTCAAGATTTAATTATGATCTCTATTTTTAACGCTAGTTCCAGGCCACTGGAAAAGATGGCGGATCTTCACTCTGATCTGGTTGGTCTTGATGGTGTAAACAATGGGGTTGACCAATGGCGGTGAGAGATAGTGGAGGTAAGAGAGCACCACACGGCTGGACGGGGTGGCCCGCTTTCCAAGTCGGTGGATCATGGAGAAACCAATGGGTGGGATGTAGAAGAGCAGCACAGCACAGATGTGGGAGACGCAGGTGTTGAGGGTTTTCAGGCGCTCGGCCTTGGAGGCAATGGACAGCACTGCTTGCAGGATCAGCACATAGGAGAGGACGATGAGCACGGAGCCCAAACCCAGAGTGGAGAGAACCACAAAGAGGCCATAGGCGCTGTTGACGCGGGTGTCAGCACACGCCAGCTTCATGACATCCGGGTGCAGGCAGTAGGAGTGGGACAGCAGGCGCTTCCCGCAGTAAGGCAGCTTCTTGAGCATGACGGGGGCGGGGACGTGCAGGCCAACGCTGCGCACCACGATGGCCAAACCCAGGCAGGCAATGCGCGAGCTTGTGAGGATGGTGCCATAGGGCAGGGGGTTGCTGATGGCCACAAAGCGGTCAAAGGCCATGGTCAGCAGCACGGAGGACTCCATGATGGAGAATGTATGGATGAAGAAGAGCTGGGCCAGGCACACGTCCACCGCCACTTTCCGTGCACCCAGCATGTAGATGGGGAGCATGCTGGGCAGCGTGGAGGCAGACAGGCCCAGGTCAGTCACTGCCAGCATGGACAGAAAGTAGTACATGGGCTGGTGCAGGGAGGGCTCCGACCTCACGACCCACAGGATCAGGCTGTTCCCTGCCAGAGAGGCCACATACATGGCACACAGAGGTATGGAGATCCAGACGTGCACATGCTCCAGGCCTGGGAGGCCCGTGAGGAAGAAGGAGGTGCCGCTGTGGTTGGAGTATCGCATGATGACACCTGCGGACAGAAGCCAGGCAGATGTATAGTCACAGGCCCTGGAAGTAAATGGCTTAGTGAGTTGGACCAGTTAGTCCAATAAAAGGTGCTCTAGAAGTTTCCCAACAGTATTTTTCTGAACACTTATAACCCAGTGGAAATAAACTAAAGGAAGTATAGAGAATGCAAATTGAAAGAGGAATTTCTGTAGAAAGGATGTGATGAACTTGCCACCAAAAAAGCAATTTGCCCAAAGAGGAAAGTTGGGACATCACCCTGGAAAGAGAGGTGGTCAGTCTTGTTTCCAAATATTCTTTGTTCACACTCTGAAAACAAAGTCAACTTTGCAAAATGTTATATTATCGGCTTTGTTTTCGTTTTTGTTTTTGTTTTTCCGGTACCGGGAGTCGAACTCACTATGTCGCACTTGCCAGGCAGGTGTTGTGCCGCTGAGTTAAATCCCCAGCCCAAAATGTTATATTATTGGTAGTTCAATTTATATGTGCTCCCTCTTATAGCTTTCCACAACATCACTCTGCCAACCCATTGTTATTTTCTTGATAGGGAAGTGAATACGAAATTTATGCAGAGTCCTATGGTCAAATACTAATAAAATCATTCTGACATGTTAACATCTGTGTTTACATGTTTTTAATTATCATTAGATCAAATTCCAAAAATATATAGTTCTACATATATGTCATGTTAGTATTTTCATTTACTTTAAAATTTTTGAGTAGAAATATTCATGTAAATTTATATTAAGATCTAAAGTATGTGTGTAAAATAAAAAATGTAAGAATTTGAATATGGCTCACCAGACTTTGTCATTTTTATGTATTGTATTAATAAGGACCCAGTGAGTATAAACCAAAAAAATTTGTCACAAGTCAGACCTTGTGTAAACCTCAGTGTCTGATACACTGTTCAGGACTAGGAAGTTTCCACTACTAGCAAACATACATTTTCCATGATGGTGCACTTCCCATTTTAAAGTATTTCCTATTCTTTCTTCAGTGAAATCAAACCAGGAGCTTTCTAGAATTTGCTAATAATCAAATATTTGAATAACAAGATCCTGTAAAAGGGGCTGGGGATTTAGCTCAGTGGCAAAGCACTTGCCTGGCAAGCGCAAGGTCGTGAGTTTGGTTCCCGGTACTGGAAAAAAACAAACAAACAAACAAAAAAACAAAACAAAAAAGATCCTGTAAAATAATTAATTTTTAAGAGATTCATAAAATACAACTTTCAGATTATTTCTTACCGTAGAAGCTGACCTTAATTTTCATTTCTACTTTCAACTCACTTGTGTTACACTCAACTTCTTTCCCCAATATATAACTATTACAGACTGTGACACTTTCCTACAGTTTGAAATGGGGAGAGATAGTCCTTCAAATTTGTGTTTCATCTTAAAATCCATTAAAATCACTTTTACACATTTTATCTCTAATCAGCTCAACTCTCTAATAAGAGTGGAAAATCCGTGTATTAGTTTTCTTTGTCAGAGAAAGAAACGTAATCTATAAGAAATGAAATCAATAATTCACCCAAAGTCTCATGTATAATATAGTATAGCAATGGGGGCAAATTTTTCTGACTCAATTCTTTTCTTCCTGTGTGTTTTTACTTAAAGAGGACAGAAAACTTTTATGTATAGAGGCTAGTAATGTAGCTATCTACAAGGTAACCTTATTGCTACAATCAACCCTAATGAATAAGATGGATGAACATATATACATATTGTGAAATACCTGATGTTTCCTGACAGAAGTGCTGTACAAAATGTTTACATAATTTTCTGGGAAGAACTTGTAAGGAAAAAACAATTGAAATAAGATTGAAAAAACAGCCATTTGGAAATATGTGCTTGTGTGTGATTGACTACAAATGTGTGCGCATGCACACACACCTGTGTGTGTGCGTGTGTGTGTGTGAGTGATGGCATAGTCCCATAAGGATTCATCAGTTGAAGGAAAGAAAAGATGTTGAATTTATAATAACCAGGTAACTAGGAGAAAGAACCCTGCCATAGCTACAAAAGGATACCAACAACACAGGCAGTTAATAGAACAAACTCAGGATCTAAGTATTACCAAGAAGAGGTTATTCACCGGTCTTCAATACTTGATTTCCACATCTGTGTTTCTTGCCTGTTCAATTCTGCTCCTCCAGGAGAAAACTCTTCATCCTATAAAATACATTATTTTGGTCCAACTTGCAATTAAAGTAGGCCAAATAGGAGACAAAAAAGATTAAAAACTGATACTAAATGATATTTCATTGTAGCTATGGAAAACATAGTTATCCATTCTTTCATCACTTGAAGCTTGGATTGTTTACATATTGGAGTTGTAGTGAATAATGTCGCAACAAAGGAAATCTTGCCATTTGCTGCAACAAGAGATGAACTTCAAGGACATTGTACTAAGAAAAAAAATAAGCCAGATACAGAAAGATAAATACTATATGACTTCATCTATATATGACATGGAAAAAATATAATAGTGGTTTCCAGGGGATGGATAGGGGAAATAGGAGAGATGCAGCTCACAAGATATAAACTTTCAGTTATCAGATGAGTATGTTCTGAGTGTCTAAGATCCATTATGGTGATTATGGCAAAATGAATGCTGTACATTTATAGGAAATTTTCTGACCATAAATGTTAGGTATCTATACATAACAGTTAACTACGTGTAGTGATGGAGGTATTAATTGTGGTAATCATTACATTAGATAAACATATATCAATTCCTCATTGTATAGCTTGAATACACAAAACTTTTAAAAACTATTTCTCCATAAAGCTGAAAAAATTTTATTTGTAAAAATTTAAGACACAAAGTTACAACTAATGTAGGAAACCTTTCTCCCCAATTTTAAGCTTTGAGATGATGTTGGAAAACATGCAAATATATCAATATGGCACATACTGGAATGATCGAATTTATATTTCACATAATCATTGAGGTGAATGATAATAACCAAAACCACACTCTTACCCACAGTAATACACTCATAATATTTCAATGTTGAGGTAATTTATACCTGGTTTCTGTACTGAGAAATTGGACAAATTGTTTTACTCTTTCAATGTATGCTTTTATGAATTTCCAGTAATTCACTGAAAATGGATGAAGTATGAGAAATAACGTATCCTTGGTGAGGGAGTTGTTAGAGCCTGAGATTGATAGAAAGTCTACTTTAATAGTAATATTTATGTTAAATAGCTGTAAAATTTGCATAGATTTAGAAAGAGATGACCTTAGTTTCGGTAAGTCAGACTTTATTGATTTACATTATATTCTATTGTCTTTTTTGTTATTTTTCCTTTTGCAACAGGAAAGTGAACCAGTCATTTCAAATTTTCTTCCTATTACATCCTTTTCCTATGCCATTCTTGTCCATAGACTGTACTCACGCTTAGCTTGACTTGTGTGAGAGGCAAAAATAAATCTACTCCTAGTTTCTAGTGTACATAATTTGGAAATATTTTAGAATTAGAAAATACCAGTGGGCTCCGTGACTTCCCTAATTATACATTCTATTTTTGTTCCCTGCTGTAGCAGTACTTTTGAGGAGGCCTTGAGGGTTCTACATTTGCCAACTTCTCCTCTGTGGTACTTTAGAGTACAGTCCTATATCGTCCTCCTAAATAGTCAGTGCAACACTATTTCAGTCCTTACCACAAAACTTGTTGTTACTATCTGCAAACACACAGCTGCTTGTCCTTTCCAAGACACAGTATCATTAACTCTGTGCAGAAGGCCGAAGCTGGAAATACATCTTCCCTCTGTAAGGGTTCAGTGACAGAGAGACCTCAACGAGGAGTAATTGTAGAGCAAATTGGGATGCCCTTGAGGTCTTTTCCTTAGGGAACATAGGAGAAGGGAAGGTATTCTCAAACAAGTTATGCAATGGGATCTAGATTTGTGACTAAGAAATCTCTGAGTCCTGCTCAAGTCTGAATTTTCACACTCTGGAAAGTTTTATCCTAGGCTGAGGTTAACCTAAAATACATGCATGAAGAAAAGAAAACAGGCTTTGCAGAAGCTCTCTCACTCTGGCCTTTAAGACTGCTCATGTAGATCAAACTCACTGAAATAAAAGCATATGATCTCTGTGTTAGAAGAAATATTTGGGTCTGGGAAGGGCCTTCCTGAAAAGGAGTCATTATAAACCAGAACATAATTGCTAGCAAGAGCAAGATATGTACATTAGACACTGAAAGACCATAACTGTTTTTGGAATTCAGCTCCTGAAGCAGGAATTACAGAAATACGAGAGAGGAAGAATTTGTGCCATACTAAGAAGTTCCAAGCCGCAAAATTTACCTCAATTGCAAGTTTTTAGTGAATTTCTCTTGAAACTTTTAAACAACTACAGCAAAGGTCAGTGGGTCACCCTATCTTCTCATAAATGGGAAGTTTGTTTTTCTATTTTCTCATTTTTTGTGTTTGTCTGACTTTAGCAAAATTTAATTTCACTTTATAGCCTTTAACTAGAAATCAGTAAGCAAAGTACATCACTCCTTATTCATCTTGGATGAATCAATTTCTCTTAAATCATCTATTAACTCTGTAATAAGGAAGTTAATAGTTGGGTGAGTAATTCTGGGGGTTATTAAGCCCAATAAGCAAGCACCTGCTCAAAGAAGACTTCCGATAATGTGAATGGGATTCTTTACTACAGTTGGGCTCCCCTCAGAATGTGTACAAAGTGTGTGTGTGTGAGTGTGTGTGTGTGTGTGTGTGTGTGTGTGTGTGTGTAGCCGGGAAAGTGTTTGCTTGCTTCCCAGGTTCTGTTCTCATCTAACAACTGGTTACTCAGGAAGTCACTCTAGATTTCTGCTCTTGTTTTTCACAAATTACCCTAAAATAATTAAAATAATTTTATTTGTGCTGTTTAGTTTAACTGGAACTACATTTATGCTACTTGCAACTCAAATTCTAAAGTAGCAGAGTACATTCTCAGCTCATCAACAATATCTGTACCAGCCCTTCAGCATGA